ATATTTCTGTATGAATGAATATTCTTCTACAAGAATGCGTGTATATAGTTGCAAAATCAATAGCAATCATTTACAACATCCATAAAGGCAATTAAGTGAAAATAATATATTGTCCGCTATATGCCATAAATTAAAGAAAATAGTTGGTTTTTGACGGTTTTTACCGGTAAAAACACGGCTTTTACCACTGTCATGTCAAAAACTGGTTTTTGACGGCAAAAACCCTAACCCTGCATTGATTTCGTAAAATTCTCAAATTAACAAATAATAAATACTACAGTAAAACAGATTTTGAAGTGACTGAACGTGACACGATTTTTTTTCTTCCAAAAGCATTTTAGGTCTTCATATTTTAGTTCTATATTTCAATTTCCTTTTTAGTTTAATAAATATTAAATGTATTTAGAATAACTATTTTTAAATTAGAATACGGAATTTTCTTTTATGAAAAAATTAAAAGTAATCTTAACATATGCCTTACAATAAAAATTATGCCACTATATTGCCAAATTATTTCTGGTATATAATGTACAGTTTTTTTTTCTTTTTTTTGTGAATTGGTTTTTAAAAAAAAGAACCAGCAAGTTATCCAAAGATAAACTGAAATACTCCATAAACACGAAATAAACCATTATTTTGTAACCATAAACACTAATTAAAGAATGGATACTCAGAATAATGATTAAAACACTCAAATAAACATTGCATAAAAGAAACATAGTTATAGTTTAGTAATGAATTTTACGAAGTCCTAATGCTCTATCAAAAAAATCCACCAGTCATTAAATGTCTTGCTTACAATTATCTTAAATGCAATTAACATTATATAACAAATTAATATTTTTACGAAATAGTTCTTTCTGTTTAGTATGCATAGTTTTTGTTTAGTCATCTGTTTAGTATTTAGTATTCAATGTGTTATTAAAAAAGACATTTAATATACTTATTACTGCATATAATATTCAGTGTTTTCTAAACTGCATGCCATGAGGTTTTGAGACAAAAAACTCTGACCCCCTTACTCGATAAATTTCGAAAATTAATAATTGCTTCTTTTTTAACATTTTTTTAACACCACAAAAAATTCTAAGTATTTTTAGTAAAAAAAAAAGTTGGAGAACAATACTCTTATAATAGTGACTTCTGAAAGTTAGATTTTGTTTAAATTCATATAACAACGTCCATTCAATTCAATGAGTTAAAATAAATAGTTCTAAATACATAATTCGAGAAGATTATAGAATTAATTTTCCAAAAATTAAAATTTTTAACTTTCCACTCTTCATAATTTTATTTGTTAAAAAATATTTTAACACAGTTTTTTTCTTTTTTAAAGTGCATACTTTAATTTTTGACATTCTAAATTCAGAAATGTTTTGTCAAAAAACTAAATATAATTACATTTTTTAAAAAAAAATCTTAACAATACAAGTTTCCCATCTCCGATTAGCACAAGACAAATGAGTAATTAAATATATATTTGGGATCGAACATTCATATGAGAAGATTATTACCTATTCAAAGCTGGTGGCTGAATTGAGTACTCTACTTGACACTTAACATTACAGTTCAATCGTATCTCCACTTTTAAATTTCAAGAATCTTCACCAGACAGGATTTGATTTATTATTGAGAATGTGAGTTGCCTTTTTATATCACCCATAAAAAATTCTACAATCAGGAAATTTAAAATAAATACAAGATCCTAAAAATTATGTATATAAGGAAATTTAAAATAATTACATATGATCCTAAAAAATTTATGCGTAAGGAAATTTAAAATAATTACATAACCCTAAAAAAATTTCGAAATAACAAATCAGAACAGACAAGACCTTAACTGCTTTTATAAAAGTTGTTAACTGCTCTCCAGTTTTTGCAAATTTTAATCTTATCTTTAAAACAAATGAACAAAGGGTTGATGTTAAAAATTAGAAATACTATTCTAGTAGAAAACGAAAAAAATTATAAGATATGGGTGTTAGTTCTTATAATACTCTTCTACTGATAATTTTTTTCCTCTTCTGCTAGAATAGCATTTCTGACTTTCTAAATTAAAATAAAACAAATTTGGTTTCAGCTGCTTTAAGAACTTTATCCATTTTGATTTATTATTTAAAATGTTATTTACATATTTTATCTTTTTCTGAATTTGTTTGGATCAGTTTCCTTCTTTGACAAAGGGTTGATGATTAATAAAGGAAATGAGTCAAAAGGTTTAAAATATAAGATATGTGAATTATATTCAATATTATGAAAGAAGCAAGAAAATCTTTTAATCAACTTTGGCTTAACAGTAATTAATAATAATAGAGGAACAGACACAATTTGCTTATTAAATAAGGGTGCTCATTATATCTGAAAAAAACCAAATTATCAAAAAAATTAAAACTATAAAGTAGAAAAGTTTGTTCTCTCCTATAAAACACTGTCTTGGAATACAGTTTATTCTAAATCTTTTAGATTACGTATCTTATAAATATCAGGGGTCTGTCTAGGTTTTTCTGAGAGGTACCTATTTTGTGAAAATTTAGATATAATTTGTGAAAAATTAAAAATTATATTTAAAAATCAAACACAAAAATATGGCAAAGAATATGGATTTACCATGTCTTAAGGAATACCAAAATAAAATTTTAAGAAAAAGTATTTTGTGAAACTACCGTTTTTCCTAAAATTAAATTTGTGAAACTACCGTTTTTACTAAAGTTGAATTTGTGAAGGTACCGCTAAACGGTAGTAAATTCGGTCTGGACAGACCCCTGAATATTTATCAAGAACATGCACTCAGACCTACGAGCAACTTTGGGTATAGAATCTATTCAATGATTTGTGCAGCAACATTTTTTTGATAATTAATGCAATTGTGTGCAGGGCACATGAGAGCATAGCACACAACAATGGCCAAGAGCCTAAAATGTATTTCAGGGTTCTACCTTCTTAATGGTGTCTGATGAGACACCAGGTAATATCGGCTTGGTTAGATGGCACGGACAGCATCTGAGCTGATACCCCTCTCCCCAAACATCCACACTACAACGCAAGAGACGACAAATTCAAAACGCACCTTGTTGCATATACACACTGGTTGTTCTGCTGACGACCAGGATCGAACCACGAACCTTTAGTATGATGAGGTGAGTCGCACGTTAAACAACTGAGTAACTGAAGATCGTATCTCTGTACTATTCACCTTTGTAAAAATTTTGTACGAAATGAACTTGAGTGGTGATTTTTAAACAGGAAAAACACAATGTGATTTTAAACAATGTGATCTTAAGTGGTGATTTTAAACTTAAAGGGCATCTAATTTCAAAAGCCTAATAAATTTTTTTATGAAAGCTTCAATAAAATAATATTTTTTTGAAATGGAGGAAGAAAATATTTCTGCGATAAATCTGAGTAAAATCGATACCATATATTTCGGTGTTTAAAATCTGATTGAAATAGATTAATTTACGTAGTTTAATTCTCAATTATAGATACACTGCAGACGAGGTCTAATATTTATTAATATAAACATTGTTAAATATTTATTCAAAAAAGTATTTCTAAGAGGAAAATTTAAATTTTTCATACTGTCCAAAGAACAAAAATATTTGTTAAAATTAGAAACATATCATGGGAAGAAATTAAAAAATTTGGCCAGTGGTCTTAAGACTTGTAACCAGAAAATTTCACTGATCTATACACATTTTAAAATTATCTAATATTGAAATTATATTTTTTTTAAAATATACCCAAATTTATTAAATAAGATAAATTTTGCAAATACAACATTCAAATATTTGTACAATTGTAAAACTAAATTAGAAATCCAAGTTATACCTTACATAAATTGAAATTTTATAATTTTTTCTGATAAACAAGTTTTTTTATTGCATATTTACTATTAGTCGAGCTTTATGTTAATTATTAAAAGCAAACAGAAAAAGCCAAAACTTCAAACCAACAAACAAAAAATTTATTCTGCAAACCATTCCTTAACTCAAGTGGGGCGCAAGGAACCAATGATTGTAACTTTATGTTGATCGGTGTATGATTTTATTAGCCTTGGACCACCATTAATTTCAAGCTTTAAAGATTACCAGAAACAGTTTTTAAAAAAAATAATAAAAAAAAGTGACAAGTTACTACAACAACAAAAAAGCAAGATGTAAATAATGCCCAAGATGATGCATTTTTAAGCCTTTGATAAAATTGTTTGAAAATAAATAAATTAAAAAACCTTTGAATAGTTATGTTCATTCATTATTACTGATTCAAGCATTTTATTAAAATAATGCATTGACAGTGACTAATACCTATTGTAAGAACAACTAATATCAAACTGTTAAAATTGTAAACAAACTCCATTCTTAAGAAAAATCATTGCAACTAGTGTTTCAATTTGAAATGTGCAATTATGTTTACCCTTTAAAAGTATTGTATTTTTAAAGTATTTTTGTAGCATTTATAAAAAATGGCCACATACTAGTTAATATTAGCATTCCCTATTCGGCCTCAGAACTTTCATACATTGACCCTATTAATCCAACAAATAATCAAAAGCATAGGGGTCAAAACTAAGGATAATCCATCAACCCTAGACTATTAAAATTTCACATGGACCACAATAATTATCAGCAGTCTTGCAGACCATCAATTGGTAAAAAGGGATGTAATGTCATTTTTCATTTTGGTTTCATATTATGATTTGTGTCACAAAATCACATATTGCATCATTATTGTGACATTACATATTTACTGTATTGGAGTTTTACATGTAATATCACTTTATATTAACTTTTTTTTCTATTAAGAAAATATATAATAGAGACGTGTAATCAGACCAGTAAAAAAGGTATTGACAGATATATTTAATTTATTGGTCTTTCGGACCAAGGATTAAAAATTCTTAGATTAAATTTCATTTCCATTTTAAAATAAACCATTGACTACATTAGAAGAGAAATTATGATTCCCATAATAAATACTTTGTATACAGAAAAATACAAATTCGCGGAAAATTGTATCTGTTTTATTTAAACAGGGAGGTTTAAATATTTTGATCAATTTTATCTTGGCCGAGATTTCCACATCGTGATCTGTGGCAGAATAATCGCAAAGTCTTGCCCACTTCCGGGCAGCAGCCCGCAAGTAACTAAAAAAATATATATCACAGAAAGGGACCAACTTGAAATATATATCTCGTAACCACCCCCTCATACACATCTACAAGTTGTTTTTCTTAAAAATTTGCAAGTTTAAAATATATTTGGTACCTCAGCGATTGTAGTTGGCGCAACAGATCACGATAGAGAAATATCCCTCATTTAAACTTAAGATAGTTTAATGATTGACATCATATTTCAAATTTAGAAAATATACTTTCATTTGATGTAGAGCTGACACAACAGTTCAATGGAAGTGAACTCTTCGAAGAAATTCATGATTCATACTTAATTGAAACTGCCTAATATTTTATAATAACATTGTAAATATTTAAATGTACAAAAGCACATTAAGATATAAGTAATTAGCATCATAATCTTTTCGGTGTTTTATTTTTTAAACTGTACTCATATTCTTAATTAAAAAAGGAATAATTAAAAAAATTAAAACCAATTTTAGAAGACCAAAACTGTTTATATTCAGCCACCTGGTCAAAGCATGTTTCAATTGGTTGAAATAACAACCTACAGGGATGTACAACTGTAAAAAGTAACATTAACAATTTCAGTTGTTTAAAAAATAATCAAAACATTTATACTTATCCAAAAATTTATTTTATCATCAAAAACGCTAAACAAATGCTATAAATAGTGCTAAGAGCACCATTTGTAAAATTAAATTAAGGCTGTTTTAGTATAACTTTATTTGTGTGATCAACGGCTATGTTTACAAATCAATGGTTATATTCGTGTGACCAATGGCTATATTACAATAACAAATTGGCTATATCTACAAAATGGGAATTTAGAAAAAATGTGGTATACCATCATTAAATCCTACATTTATGATTTTTAGTGCAAGATCCATAGAAATTAAAAATTGTAACCACTTTTTAATTTTATGCAGAACGTTTTTAGCATGCTTGTTGATATATGAGGATCATATTTTGATGGCATTGGCAATTAGGAACATTTTTTTCTCTTTCTGAGCAGTTTTTACGTTTAATAGGACACTTAAATTAAAGGTCACAGCATTTTTCTAGATATTAGAGCATTTTTTATGTTATTGGAGTGTTCTTTATTCTATGATTTATTTGGCTTTGAATCACTTTTGTTATATTAAATGCAAAACAAAATATTCAGGAATTGATATATTTTCCTTTTTTTTTTTGGTTACATAATATTTATTTCTAACTTTAATGAATTAATTTAGAACACGTATTGCATTGCTTTTGGCATACATGAAAGTATTTGTTTTAGTTAAATATTTTTACTCAATATGGCATTTTTGTCATCAAAATCTGGGCTTTAATTGATAATCATATTAACGCCTTACCTGTCATATTCTTTATTTTCTAATTCACAGCGAGGATCTTTCATTTCTTTCCATTTTTTGCCGTGTTTACAAGTTGTCAAAAGTATTATATCCTTGGCATTGTGTAAGTGATATAAGGAATTCCGGGTTTCAGAACCAATACCGTATAGATATCGTTTTCCTTTAAACACAAGGAGGTATTTTTTGGTGGCCGGCAGGTCACCGGACCCCACATAACCCCGATCACTCCCCCTTTCGGGATGCGATTTTGAAAAGAGGGGTATGGAAACGTCGAATCCAGGTCGAAAGTTGGCAGTCGACATACTCGCTTTTGCGAGTATAGCTTCCCCAATGTCGAATCCCAGATTTTCCGCATAGTCAGGCCATGTGCCCGAATATAAATTAAATATCACATGATTGCGACCGTTATTCCAGTATTTGACCTGGTCCACTTTGGCTTGTATATCTGACACATAATCCGGACTCAAACTGTCCCGGTCAAGAGTATCTATTCCCAATACATACAAACATGCCTGACTAGGATCCGATGTAAAATACCGGGAATCCCGGATAACACTTAAGATTTTTTGGTAAGTCGGAGAAATAAGTTCGTCCGGCTGTACAGGGTACACGTAAACTTTGTAATCACGTTGACACCTTGACAAATCAAAGCACGTGTGTAGAGTACAATTGGAGGGGGTGTGGTGGGT